GAAAAAGAATTTTACATTTACATAAATTTTTTTAGTTCTTAATGTGTGTATGTACTTCAAATTAAATTCTTTTCTTGCTTATATAATCACTACTATTTTCTACAACCCTTAGTTACTTTGTAGGAACACTTGCTACTTCCTAGACCGATTCTTTCACTAAATATAGTGATCTAAAAATAGTTGCTACTACTTTTTCACAACTATTTACTACTTCTCAATCTAATTTGAAAAAAACAATTTCAAGAAACACCTGCACTTAACTGAGTTTGAAGCTTTCTCTTAGCTTTCTCTTGATTTCTCTTGTTTACTTTCTTCACTTATTCTTGCGTTTTCTTGTTAGATTTCTCTATTTTCTTGCTTTCGTAGTATTTCACACATTTTTGTGCAGTTTACTGCTCTCTTCTTGAATACTATTTCTCCTTAAGCAATTAAAAGCAAAAAAGTTTATAAAACGAAACGTTACAGAAGTTCATAAAAGAAAATTCTCTTTAGTTCCCTTATCAAAGCAACAATAATTTATATCCATATTAAAAATATTATCTTTACCTTGCCTCATTTCGTTTTTCATCTATATTATGCCCCTACTATGAAGGAACTTTTCATATTAAAAGATGTTCCACAAGTTCACATAATATAGTTTACTTCTGATCAACGACTTATTTTATATCAACAAGGGTTCAACAAGTTCACATAACTGTTATACCTTCATTTCTACTGTTTATTCGTTCTATTCTTAAAATAACGCGAAATTCTATTCTTCTCAGCGATATTTTCTATTTGAAGCAGTTGTTTCACAAGTTCACATAACAGCTTATACCTTCCTTTCTACTGACTTGCTTCCTATTCGTGGAATATCTCGAAATTATGTTTTTCCAATCGTTATTTTCCTTTTGAAGCAGGTGTTTCACAAGTTCACATAACTTTTTGAACATTCATTTCTACTCTTTTCGCTTTCTATTCTTGAAATATCTCGAAATTGTGTTCTTTTAAGCGATATTTCCAATTTGAAGCAGGTGTTCCACAAGTTCATACTACTGCTGTACCCTATTATTTTTGGTTTTCTTCATTTATTTACAAATTTTCTTATAAATTCGATAAAAAGTATTTTTGTCATGCAAAATTATAAAAAGTTTTAAAAGTCATATTTGCAAAATATATATTAATCCACTACAAAATTAAATAGTATATGATGTAAGTATACATATTGTTTAGAAAAGACTTCAAAAATAATTTGTCAATTATTAGAAATATAATCCAACAAATATCTTTAAACCTATTACATAATTTGAATTTCATATTTATATAAAGATTGCTAGAATAGACGTCATTCCTTTTATAAATTCAGCTGGTCACCCATATAAATATACAAATTTGTATACCATCCACCATTCCTACACCCTCGTGTACCTCGTTTGCTCTGTTAACCCCAACGCGTTCTAAGTGTTGTTCTTCCCGTAGCGTTGTGCTTAAAATATTTTTCAATTTTGCTTAATGCCAAGAAGCACTCAAATGAATGCGATTGTTCTTTTTACAGGAAAAATCATCATTTTCTCTTGGGAAGGTATTTAAAGCTACCTTTGAATAAGAAAATATAGTAGTGTGTTATTGCACATAATATATTTATAGTCAATTAAACAAATAAATACACCATAATAGTTGCGATATAAGCACAAAACTGACTAAAATGAATTATAGTAAAAATTCCACAGAAAATTTTCGTATTTATTAAATATCTTTCATAACTAGTGCAAGAACAGATAAATATTTTATTTAATAAAATATGCTTTTAAACTCCCAAGGGAACCAAAGCCTCTAATAAACTCCATAAATTTTCAAGAAATTATACAAATTTTACACAAAAATTTCAATCATTATCACTTAGCAAAGAAATTTCATTTAAAACATATACAAGCTGTGTTGCATAAATTCACAATACATAAAATCATGGCAGTATTTGTATAAAGCATAAATAGATGTGTTCCACAAGTTCAAAGTATGATAAATTAAAATGGGTATAGGACTCTCTTCTCTCTGAGTATTGGATTATGTTCTACAAGTTTACAGATGGAAAACTTTGTATAACCCATTTTTAGGAGCATAGGGGATTGTGTTTCTCAAGTTCACAAAATGAAAGTACCACGGTGCGGTAGGTAGTTGTAAAGAGTTTCAGATAGTAAATGTAGCTTTAGTTTTAATGTTACGAAAACAAGTTCAAATTCGAGTATAGCAGTACAATAAGCTTGCTGTTTTTTCAAGATTTTGGCTTTTTAATTTCCACGGTACCATTATAATTGTAGCTGGCTTCATAATATTATTTATTTTCACTTCCGAAATTTAACGTCTAAGAGTTCCAGAAATTCAATACCGCTTACTTTCAACTAATTTCTCTGCCAAATCCTCTGCCAAATCTCCAGCAGTGATTAGTTATACACTCTCACGCTAATTTTAATGCTTTCCCTTTGTCTTCTAAACTAATTCTTATTTTTTCCCTATGCTAATCTTACTTTCAACACAACTTCCTTCATTTCTCGGTGTTTTTAATGCTCTGGATGTTGTACATCTTTAAGAAAGCTCTTGACGTATATGCTTTCGAAGTATCAGGATTATTAGTTAGTGCAAATTTCTGTTGCTATTTCAAATAAGCTGCTCAAGTTGGATATTTTTTTTTATTTCGCTCAGTACTAACAATAAATTTGATTTTAATCTTGACATCTGCTCACAAAAATAGTTAGAATTTTTATTTTTTTCCTAAGTTATCTTACTAAATACTCTGCCTCTGGGTCATCTAATTTTATACACTATTTGCCTCTGCCTCATGTAGTTGCATAAAGTTACACAAATTAGAATTGGTTGCAAACTTTTAATAATAACACACCAATAACTTAAACTCAGACACTCACCAACCAACATACACTCAACACATGTCACTCGAAAATAGTTTCTCTCTTAAGCAAATGCTTTCATATACTTTACTATTTGTCACTAAAATTCTCTAATTTACTTAAAGACAATTCAATTTAAGAGCATAATTTTAACAGCAATAATTTACTGAATTCTTTCGTAATTTTTCACTCAAATCTATTAATTTCATATTACGACTCACTCTTGAACAGTAAATTTTACTAATTATGTCTCTTCTTGATTATCATACGATTAAATTCACTCTAAGACAGCACTGCTTATGGTTTCGTGCAAACCAATTCAACCTCAATTATTTTCGCTCAAGTTTAGCATTTAATTTTGCACTAATAATTTTTATTTTTATTTAATTTTTTTAATTTTTAAATGATTTCACATTGTATAGAAAATATTAAATGGCAATGGTAAACATTTTTCTTCAACACATAACTTGAAGTATGATCCAAAACATAATTCACTCAATTAATTCCACTCATTTTTTTTTAATTTTTCCTTGCTTACATAAAATGAATAATAATTTTTCTTTATTTTTCAAATACGGTTTGGTTTTTAAAAGCATTGAGTAAACCGTTCATTTCAAACTAAATCTTTGAGTATGAGTACAAAATTATAACAAATTTTTTTCATAGCTTTTTCTTTGTCATACAAAAATTATCAAAATGTAATTTACTTTATATATATTTTGGTTTTGAAAAGATAATAATAAAGGAAATTTCCAATTAAAATTACTTTCTAAAAGAGATTTCTAACATTTTTTTTCAATTGCAATTTTATTTTCTAAATTAAAAAAATAATTTACCAAATACATATTTTCTAAAATCAATTATTTAAAAAAATATATTATTTAAAAAATTAATTTTTCCTTTCATTCTTTTTTAAATTTTCATAAAAAATTTATTATTTATTATTTACAATTTTAATAATACAAGATATCAAAAATTACTTAAAAAATATTTATTCTTCCCAAAAANTTTTGACTTGTAAAATTTTTTACCACTGTAAAATTTTAGCTTCTATAACACAATGACAAAAAATTATTAGAAAAGAAAAATTACAATTTTTGCTTTTTAATTTACTAGACTAGGCTCTTGCTTTCGAAATTTTAAGCTTAATTTCATTCTTCACAGTTTCAAATTCAAAATATTTATATGTGTTTTCGAGAAATAATAAAGGGTTGTATTACAAATTTAGTGAGTAGGTATTTAAGTCGGTTAGTTGTAAATACATTTTAAAGTAATTATAATCAAGAGATTTTAAAAAAGTAGTGTAGCTTAAAAATATTGCTTAACTTTTTTTTTTAATTTTTTCTATATAAATTATGCAAAATTTATTACATTCTTTCAATATAATTTTTATATTTTAATTTTTTATAAATTTTTTTCCGTAATTGTTCATTTAAAAAGGTTTTACCAAATTTCCATATTCATATGCAAATACAAGTCTTCACATAAAATTTGTAAATACACGCGATTAACTAAGATTTTAGCAAAAACACAACAAAAAAATTAGCAAAAACAATGAGAGCTTAAGTAAAAAGCAAAACTCACGCTTTGGTATGCGCAAAATGCACGAGCAGTATAAAAAAAAAATTATTAAAAAATAAAGCAAAATACTTTTAAGAATTCTCAGGTTTTAACAAGAATTTAAAATAGTGTAAAAATAAAACTTTTTACGAAAATAATAATTTTGTCTTAAGGTACTGAAATTTGTTTTCAAAAAAAAAATAATATATTTGTGTTTTTAAATACTGAATTTTATTTTTCAAATTTGAACTTTTAAAAGGAGACCATTTTATATATACATATACCTGTCTCTTATACACATCTAGATGTGTATAAGAGACAGATATAATATAATACATTACAACTATAAAAAAAGAGTTTTAGTCTAAACTATTTCTACAAAAAAATAATATATCGTATTTTTATGATAGGTAAAAAAAAAAATTAATAAAAATTAAGAGAACAAAAAAAAAGTATTATGCTTTTTTAACCCACATTCTTTAAAAATATATTTTGTCCAAGAAAAAATACAACCCTATCGACAAATTTATAAATAACATACATTTTTCCTATTTCTAGATATTTGACGACATCATTTTCGTTTTCTTCGCCATCGAAATGCTAATCAAAACGATAGCGATGGGTTTGCATGGAAAAAACACCTATATGGCTGATTCTTGGAATCGACTGGATTTCTTTATAGTTGTTGCTGGTCTCTTGGAATACGTAACGAATGTGGAAAATCTCAACTTGACGGCGATACGAACGATAAGAGTGTTGCGTCCATTGCGGGCAATTAATCGCATACCAAGTAAGACACCGCGTATACGCAACTTTTTTCAATCAGAACTAAGAATTTAACTTCTTTCTTTTAATATTTAAATGACATTTTTTCCACTCTCACGCAAGGTATGCGCATTTTGGTCATGTTGCTGCTGGACACGCTGCCTATGCTCGGCAATGTGCTGCTGCTCTGTTTCTTCGTCTTCTTCATTTTCGGCATTATTGGCGTGCAACTGTGGCGGGGCATATTGCGTCAGCGTTGTTGGGTTCCGGAAATGCCAGTTATACCATTTCCGTAAGTACACACTTTTTAAAAGTCATTCACGAATAAATATAATATTAAATTGAAAATTTTCTAATTTTGCTAAACGAAATATTTTAAACAATAATAACTTTTCTCTTTCCGCATTGCTACTACTTATTCTGCAACGTTTGTCTTTCTCTTTGGTTTTTAATGAGTTATCGTTTCACTTTCTCTGTGCTAAAGAAGCTGTTATAGTATTTGTTAAGCTTTTTTGCATAGCGTTATTTTTATTTTTGTTTTTAGAAAAGCTTTTAAATGTATAGCTTATAAATGGACAGCATTTTTAGGGTCTATAGTGACTACTACGAATACAAAAAGCTACAATTTTCATTAAATTAATGTTAAGATA